TTCCAGTTACCTCATCCAGTGTCTTATTGTTTTAAAGCTTGTATAATAACTTATTCACCTATACAATTAATATTATAACTAACTAACATACCTTACATTCTAACACCGTGTTGATTCTCTATTCTGAGTTACTTCTTTTACCGGCTCGCCTTAGAACCTGGCAGAATCATCAGCGTCGTAGTTCGACTGAATAGAATATAATACTCCAGACCATACTCACAAACCTAGACTAGCCTTTTTCTTTGTGATTACCATTGTACCTACGTCATAAGCATGTTTATAATGTACTGTGATTCAGCAAATAAACGAGTAATTATATATCTATCATTTGCCTCATGAGTTGCCTGGGATGGATGCCTTATTGCGTCACTATTTCTGGTTATATACTAGATGGAATAAATAAATCGCTAATACATACATTAAGTTTTATTTTTTACCATCGCATAAGATTAAGTGAAGAATTCGTACTAGCTCAATCCACCTCTTTAAGTAATGAGAAAAGTGTCAACCTATCTCTTTTAAAAGTTTTTTATCGTTGTATATCTTTATTTATACCCTAGACACAAAAGCATCCCAGATTTATTTACTTTCGCGTTGTAGATACACAAGAAAGTTCATCTCAAAGAAATAAATCCGTTACGCTCCGGCAAACGAACGTCGTTCGTGTTTGCAGGGAAATGCGGAAAACGTTTTTCTTTTAACTTTTTACCTGACTGAGAAAAAGTTGATTACTTTAAAAAATATTTTTATAAGAAAAGTCAGACTGAGGCCTATGAATGGTAGAGCTTTATAAAACTGCAAAGTTAAAGACTACAAAGTTGACCAGTATGGAAAACGGAAATAACATTTTTGAGCTACAATTTTTCCCTTTTTAACCCTTAACTACATTTGCTATTTAGACTAACTTTTACATAGATTTAATATACTAAATCTATGAACTTTAATAACTTTGTGGGGTAGTTTTCGACCCCAAAAATAAATACGTCTAAAAAGATAGGTTTATGTTTTATATATTTTTGTTTATTGAATATTAAATAAGAAAAAGACTTCTATTTATAGAAAATAACTCTTTATTCAAAATTAACCAAATTAAGGCACTTATCGAAACAGTACAGTTTTGGCATTTATAAAACTAGTTTTTGGAATTTGTCTCACAAACAAATTTAATCGACTTAAACAATAACAAAACAAGTATTTTGAGATCAAGTAAAGATCATTTTAGTAACTTATAAAGAAAAACAACACTGGTACTTTCTATAAAAATAATGACAATAATAAGTATTATAGCCATTGACTTACAACTATATGGACGTCGGGTCCTCGCTAAAAAGTGTCCGAACTTATAGGGCGTTAAAATCGTATACAGAGCGTCATTCACGCTTTAGTCTTCATTTGTTCGACTGACAGCGAATCAAGCAAAATTAGACAGTACTGCGATGACATTACAATTTAAATTCAAAGTTTTAGCTTTTTCATATTCCTTGACATGTCACTACGTTTAAATAGGTTGACTTGGGACATTTTTTTTCGTGGTTTTTGTATTAGACCCGTCGTCCATTTATTTGTAAGTCAATGATTATAGCAAATATTTTTTTCCCAAAAGAGTCAGCTGTCTCAGGTTTCATATACTCGTAATATCTCAACAATGGCAATTTGTAACGATTTTTTCCATAAAAGTAACCAGATTGTCTTACTCCGTCTTAATCTTCTTCATCTGTGTGCCTTTTTCTTCTTCTTCGTGTCCATAAACTTCTACTTCTCTGGCGGTATCATGATCTGACATTTCTGGAGTGCTATCGCTAAATTCGTTAGCATCTTCAAAAATACGGTATATCCGGCAAATCAAAATTTTTACTACCGTAGCAATATCTCTTTCATTTGATTTTCGATTTTTTGAAATGGCAAGTCATTTTGTCTAAAACAAATAAAAACAATGCATATTGACGAATAAAAATTTACGTAACTGAATTCGTGGGGTAAATTTTGACCCCATGATACATACCTATAAAAACACTGATTGCCACTAAACACGCGTCCACACACTGAGAAATTACGTTGAAACGGGATGGCTACGTTGCACTTGGAACGAAGTTATTAGCAAACAAATGACGGGTGGGGTATAAAATTACCCCACAAATGTAGTTAAGGGTTAAATCTATAAATCCAAACGATTGTAAACTTTTCATAGTAGACATAGAAATGAAACTTCAGTGGCTGTTACAAATTATATTATGAGATCTTTTCACTATAAATCCAAACAAAACAAAGCCATGTCCTTTCTCGTTAAATATGTTTTTCACATTGGCGGCCGCCTGTCAGCATTTCGTTGATATCGACGATGATGATAGGTACTGATTTGTTTCCTATTTAGATAAAACTAATTTTTAAAGACGCAAAGTAAGTTTTCTAACAGAATAAAATAAATCAATGTGATTCGCTAACACAATGTCAAAGATTTATAAATAACATAATATTGTGTGGTATGATGTAGTGTGTGTAGCACGGACTAATCACTGTGAATATTTTTGCTATGCATATGTATGAAGACCCACGTCATTAATTAATGGATGGTGCTTGACGGCCTTTTTGTCGGCCATACAATTTTGAAACAAATTTTCAGGACCTTACTTGTTACTTTTTTATTTACTTCAAAATATGTTTAAAAATCCCCAACAATAACCCAATAATCCAACCCAATAACCCAGTAGAAAGAATGAACTTGATGTGTATCTGAATCATCGAGTACATAACCAGAAATAGGGACGAAATGTCATTTAATTTGTTTGCAAACTATTCTGCCAAATCATTACTGGGATAATTGCGCTTCGACGGGCCAGCCCGAATTCGAAACAATTGACGGGTGTCGTCAATTGTTTCACTAATGGACGAAAATTGCAAAATTACATATTTCATATTTAATTACCGATGAAATGTGATTCCGTTTGTTTTGTAATTAGATGTTTTGCTGTTTTTCCCACACCACCGAGTGGAACAGACCCTATTGTTAGAGATATTATCTTTATTACAATAAATACAGTATATTTTTGGAATATACGGAGTCTTATATACAGGCCAGTTGTAGGCGCTGCTGTACTATTTCAATTTTCTAATTTGTGATTTCGGCGCAAACGAGAGTTGATATTTAAAAGTGATATAAGACTAATAGAATATATATATATATATATGTCGGATCAGGACTAAGAACGTGGGCGTTATCATCTTCATTTCCTGCGGTCTCCATTGGGTACTCGGGCAATCATACAATCGCCGTGCCAACTTACAATTATATTCTTTTCATAAACAAACAAACGAACCGGCAGGTTTGAGGTAGTGGTCCAAGGACACGGCGTCTCTTTACTTTTGTTAAAAATCTCAAAATAACCATCCAGTTACAACAGCGTCAAGCAAATCATTTTGTATCACACCGCCATCTTCTTTTTCAATTCCTGCCTCCCTCGCGCCCCACCTCAACTCTGCCCGAGAAGCGTCAACGCGTTCTCGGGTTCGTCACTAGATGGCGTAAATAACAAAAATCTTAATTAAAAAAGTAACGTTTACACTTTGACATATATATATGTATGATAATATGACAAGTTGCCACGGATAGATATTTCTTATTTCGTCTCTATTTCTGGTTACATACTCGATGGTCTGAATGATAAATATCTAAATACTTCCCGCGTTAGCCACCAGTGATGACATGAGCTGATGACTCTACATCCTATTTCTTATAAGCAGTAATGTGAGTTCCCTACGACATTCTTTGGTTCAATAAAAGAACCCTCGAAATATTCAGGACGTTGGGTTGTAAAGGTTACTTCGTAACTCGTGACTCGTATTAACATTGCTATTTTTATCTTTTACGATCCTTTACAACATATTCTAAGGATCGCAGTCATGTATCTTGTGTATAAGAAAGGAGTGACATTTTTTAAGCTATGTTAAAGAGTGTAAAAGGCAATCCGAAAATCTCATCATCAACTCATATACAGGGTGTATACACTAAGTGTGCCCAGACGACAATTTCATAAAATTTAAGAGATACCAAAAACCTTGAAACTGATATCGAAAGTACAGGCGTATTTCAAATACTTTTGCGTGCACCTGTACAATTTCCGGTTTTTTGAGAATCTGTCTTCATGAGAATCCGTCTTCTTGAGAATCCGTCCTATTGAGAATCTGTCCTTATGAGAATAAAGGGAAAGTACGTTACCAAATAAGTAAAACGACATCAATAACTTTTTAAAATTAAACTAGAAATATCCAAAATTTTAACGTTAAAAGCTCTCATACATTTAATGACTTTTTTTTAAAAACATCAAGTGACGGGACGAACAAGTCGTGCACCTGATGGTAAGCTACATGCCTGTCCATAACAGTTACAATGTCACTCAGAGCTTTAAATTGCAAAGATCTGAGGGGCACTACCACTGCTTCCGTCACCCTGATACATAAGTTGACAAGTCCCATGTGCCTATAATTTCACCAGCACCCTTACCCTTCAAAATCGAAACACAGTAATACTGACATTACTGCTTGGTAGCAGAAATAGGTAAGGTGGCAGTACTACCCTGGACGAACTTTTTCCCAAGGAGCTCTACATTCCTAGCGAGGCTTTAGTTTCGAACAACTGCTTTGAATACATAATTTTTACTTACTTAAAAATAAACATCATTTTGATTTCAGAGAAAGATTTCGGCCAGAGAAGTACTACTGCCACCTTACCTGATTCTGACGCCATGCAGTAATTTGAGCATTACTGCGTTCCTGTTTTGAAAAGTAAGAGAGCTGGTGTGTTGGTGAAATTACCGGCACATGGGACGAAGTATCATGGGATACCTGCATATAGAGCAGAGTAAAACAGTCTTCAAGACGGAGAGAGATCTCCAGTACGACTTCTAAATAGCATTATGGTATTCGTTCACATTTCTCAAACTGTACACATTTACACATACAAATTAAACAGGAATTATTAAAAATAAAACTTTTTATTCCACAAATAGATTAGTAAAAACAACCGTCGAAATATAAGTAAAGAAACGGTTACAGTTAACGTTTACATTTTCAAACGAAAATGTTTAAAGAGTTAAACTTGAAGACGATAAAAATATCAGTGACATTCGAAGACTGTTTACCACAATTATGAAATACGTTGTTACTGAAACAAGAAAACATGTATATTAAACTTGGTACTACGTAGTAATTTTATCTACCGTATAATTGGACTTAATAATGCACTCTTTGTAGCTAACATGTATGTACCTGACACGTCTGTTACTAAAGTGCCTCTTACGCGTACACACGCTTTTACCTTATAAGAGCCTGATCTCAAAAATCAACCGTTTATTTTCACGTCTTTTTTGTCTTTTTTGTACGCACGACTAGACCTTACATCTGCCTTCTATTGACAAGCCTTTAGACTTATATACACCTGTGACGATGCGACCTCTTTCATTGTCATCCGACCTTCCCTTTTCTCTGGTTCCTGGCCATTTACTTTTAAAATTTTGAATCGTTATCTAATTCTTTTCTTCGTCAATCTTACTTTGCTTCGTTCCGTCGTGACTTCTTCCAAAATTCACGGAAGAGAAAAGATGTGTCCTTCAATCAAGAAAACCTAACTGCTTATAAAGCAGTAATATATTTACGAATTCAGACCTTTCTGGGGTAAATTTCTACTTTATATTCATCCATGAGCATATCCGTATGTAATTTAAGTTTGGGAGTGTTTCATAACATTATGCCTGTGTTTTTATACCATTGTTTTTATTACAATTATACTTATCCTTTCCTACAATTCTATCTACAATAAAAATCTTGCAATAAAAATTATGTGAACAGAGCCTTAGTGCGCCATCTCCTACCGGAGGTCGGCTTTTCTTTGTAGCTTCTTGGGCCCATGAAGTTGTGGCTCAGAAGACTTCTGTAGTACTCGTGTTGAACCACTCTACAAGATTTTGGAGACATGTGGTTTTTACACGGCCACATTTTCTGCGGTCCTCGATTTTTTCTTGCAGAATGATTTGCAGTAGAGAGCATTTTCACTTTTTGTGCCCAAGGTATTGAGCTCCAACACCAGCATGACTTTGTATACATGGTTAACTTTATTTATTTTGACAACTTTGACTTTGACGACCTCTGTGGCCGAATGGTGTGCACACCGGTTTTTATGATGTCACCATCTCTGAGTTTCTGGATTCGATCCCCAGCTGGATCAATGTAGAACTAACTTTTCTATGTTGTCTCGGGTCTGGGCGTTTGTCGTACAATCGTTGTTTTCGATTTCCATAAAACAAGTGCTTTAGCTACTTACTTTGGGATCAGAGCAATGTATGTGATGTTGTCTAATATTTATAAATGTTAGTTACATGACATCTGCTTTTTTGGCTTGCCTTCATCGTGTACTATTTACCTTTAAATCTTTTACGAGTGTACAAGGGTAGTCACCTCCTATCTACTTTCTACTAGCATATCTTTACCTTGTAACCATTTGCAAGTTACATGACAACAGTGTGATACTGGCATATTGTATCTACTTGCCAGTTACCTTGCATCTGCTTGATACTGACATGTATTTTCATCGACTATATCATTAACCAAATTCGAGCGCCATAGGTCAGAATTAATGGCGGATTTATTATAAACAATTACAAAGAAAACAACTTACATAACGCATTAAGAATCATAATCACTACTAATGAACCTGCGGCCACAGCGCAATTTCCGCGTACAGCCAAACAGTAGACCATCAATATAAAGAAAAGTGCGAAAACCGTCATGCTGTAGAACAGTGCACCCCATTGGTAGACATAAATCAGCTTTGGTATGTTCTGGAAAGACAAAGCGTTACATCAATCACAAGTGAAAGTATAGCTTTATTGTTAAAACTGGGGTTGTTGCGAATAGCAGCATTAGCATCGGCATCCGTATTCATCGATTCTGATATTCGATGCGGACGTTCGAGACCTAAACGTGACAAGACCTAAACGGCACGCTGGAATAATTTACAAACCTTCCAGAAACAGACTGTAAGCCGAAAAAGCAGTTCCGCTGTTGTTTTTAGCATAATTATAACTTTGATAAAATTCCTTAACGATTAAGTCAGGAAGATTGATTGTTTTCATGAAGATTGGTTCTTTTAATTATTAATACAAAGATCAAACACTTAGAAACAATCCTTCGATCGGGCGGGACTGGTAGCTTTAAAGTTACCTAACTGAGTGACGAAATACTTTCATAGATATCTCATAGATGGCGATACGGCTAAGAAGTCGTTGAAAACCAAATGCAAAGATCTGACAAACAAGCACATAGAAGAATTCGTGAGGTCCGCTGGTACGTCTCATGGCTTAGTTGGCATAGAGTCTGGCACGGTTTGCTAGAAGACGTTGGTTCGAATCCGGCCGGATCGAAGGAATTTTTTTCCAAGTGTTCGATCTTTGCATTAATAATTATAACAAACTAGTGGAGTAATTGCCCAAAAAAATAATTAAATACCAATTCAATACAAATTTAATTGATTTTTTAGAATCATTGTAATAATATTTTATTATAATACAAAGAAAATAGTAAGCTTTTTCATGTAGATAGATTGTACATTGATTGGTAAATACTTTCTCTTTGGCATCAAGCGTTTTGTCGGCATTGATAGCGACCCTTCTCGCGTCCCGCACACAAAGCGGCGAAGCTTTTGCGATTAAGTTGGACTTTTCTTATATATCAGCGAGTGACTTGTATTAAGTATGATACGTAATACCGTACTATTTGTGAATAATAAATAGATTTATAGTAAGAAGCCGCGATAGCCTAATAGTTTGACCTACCACCTCTCAAGTAGAAATCGAGGGTTCGAATCCTGACTCCTACCTCTGAGTTTCTCGGAATTTATGTTTCGAAATTTACCTTGAAGTTTTCAGTAAAGAAAAACATAGCGGAGAAACCTGCACGTCGAAGAACGTTCACAACCCTAGAAAAACGTGTGACGTCCCCAATCCCCATCGGACCAGTGTCGCGGACTATGGCCTAAAACTTCGCTTGAGAGGAGACTCGGGCCTATGGGAAGATTTTTATAGCAATTTTGAAAATGGTAGGAATGTAAAAGAAGTTTCGGTTCAAATAAAAGTAATTCTTGACAAGGACAAAAAACATAAAACTGAATTACACAAATGGTTGAAATAGAATACATATTACCATTTTTAGTATCATGTCGTTTGGTCAAGCACCAGCCGCCTGCCCAACTTGAAAGACTGTCTCAAGTTCCAAGAGCTGTGATTTTCCTGAAAAATCAAATCCTATATATTTCCATTAATAATTATGAAATCAAGTACTAGAACATGGAGTGTTTGGTTTTATTCAGAAATAGGATTTGACATATTATTCCCCAGACAGGCTTTCAAGTAGGCCGCAGATGAATTTTACTTACACAAAGAGCGCCAACGACCAAACAGACACTGACAACACACAGTACAATAGAAATACAGCCCAGAATACTTTGGATCATAGCCTCGACGGCTCCCTCCTTGGTGAATATGGCTCCATGTAGGTCCCAGTACCCATGTGAGTGACTTACGTTTGGGGCAAGAATAAGACCTGCTATCTGAAATTGATAAACATAAACCATTTTATGATTATGAATACAAACAGAGAAAAATTTCGTCGACTCGGTGTGACTTGAACCCACGACCATACTGCACCGTAGCATTGCTCTGACCATCTGAGCCACGGGTCCAGTTACGGAGTCGACGAAATTCTCGTACGTGTTTTTGTTATAGATTTTTGTTATAGCATTCGTCGCCGCTAGTGACATCACCAGGCTGATTTTAATTCAAACCGGAATCAAAATGAAATTACTCCAAATTTCACAAAAAATAATTGAATATCAATTCAATAAAAAAAAATTAATTAAATCAACTATTGTTCCGATTTGAAATGTCAAAAGTTTCCAATCGGCCAGTGGTGAATCGCAATTATGCGTCTCGACTCAGAAGAGACGTATTTTCCGATCGGGAGAGGCTATCAAAATCAAGCTGCTGATCTTTGTATTCATATAAAACTAGTGGAGTTATTTCGCAAAAAAATCTCAATAAATACATTTGATCGAAAAGTGTCAACCGCGCCAGTTGTGATACCTGTAAAGGTATCGGCTGCGGTGAGAAGGTTATTCAAAAATCTCTCACTAGATTTTTAATTTAAATTTCGTTTTAAAATATCGTCAAGTGACAGTGAATATGACTTCGAACAAAGAGCAAAGGTTACAAATTGATAATCTTTTGCCGCCGAAATCTAGAAAAAATTATCTATAAGCCTATGAATGAAACTTTTATGGATTGGAGGTACAAAAAACGTATTACTTCTTTCTCACTTTTGACGAGATGTCAAAAAAATAGCAATATTCAATATTCAGTATGTTTATTTACATTCCACAATGGTATACAAAGTGTTAAATAGTACAAAGATAACATTTTAATGTTGTTAACAATTTTAATATTATACATATTAATCCACAAAGCATTTCGGCACATTATGCTGACATGCTTGCCACGTTTCATGACAAAAATATTCATATCATCCTTACATCAGAGACGTTCTTAAATCCTTGTCTCCCTTCTACTTCTTTCTCTTTTCCAGGTTTCCAATTGATCCGTAATGATCGCGTAAGTTCTTCCCATGGTGGGGTAGCCATTTATCTTCCTAGCCATATTCCTTTTATAATCCTTTGCGCATCACCTCAGCCCCCTCCACCCAATACCGCTGAACATTTTTTTCTTGAAATTACTCTGTCTTACCATAAGATACTTCTAGGTGTTTACTATAGTCCATTGAAAAGCTTCTCGAAGATTTTACTCCTTCTTACGACCACTCCATTTCTAATGGGTGATTTTAATACCTGCCTCCTTAAAAATGATTCTCGGTTGCATAGTCTTCTTTCCGTTATGAACTCTTCAAAATTACACATTCTTCCATCTAATGCTACGCATCATTTCCCTGACTGTAGTCCCTCACTTTTAACTCTTATAGCTGTCTGTTCTCCTGAATTTGTCACCGAACATGGTCAATTTACTGCTGATGCCTTTTCGTATCACGACCTCGTATATCTATCATACAAGGTACGTGTACCTAAAGCTAAGCCTCGAGTTCTCCTACAACGCAATTTTGGGGCCATGGATCTGGATCGATTGTGGGAAGACGCCAATAGGGTTGACTGGTCAGTTGTGGATAATGCTGGTTCGGTGGATAATCTGGTTGAGATATTTACTTCGCTTCTGACTAAACTTTACGACGTACATGCACCGGTTCGACCTGTACTTATCAAGCACTTTCCTGCCCTGTGGTTGAATGATGACCTTCGCAACTTTATGGTGAAGAAAAATCGTGCTAAAGCCAAATACAAAAGTAAGCCATCTGATTAAAATCGTAAGAAATATCACCGTATTAGAAATCGCTGCAATACGATGATAAGGGATGCACAGCGTCATATCCACAAAAGTTTGGAAATTCCTTAAGTTGCTTGGAATTGGCAAATCTCGTTGCAATAATTCTTCTCAAGACTTAAATCTCGATAAACTTAATTATCATTTTTCATCTACGCCCGTCTAGGATTGTTCAATTAAAGACAACACTTTACTACATCTTTCTTCATTGCCAATTCCTCCTTTATTCTTAATCAATTTAATGACTGTGATGTGATGTTAAGAAAAACATTTTAGCTATCGCCTCCAATGCTGTAGGTAGTGATTGCTTTAGTCGTAACATGATAATTCCTCTCCTTGATCTCCTCACTCCCGCCATTACCATAATCCTTAATACATCTGTGTCCATCAGTGTTTTTCCCTCATCGTGGAAGGACGCTTATATCATCCCATTACACACTCCTTCACTTCTTCCTGTCATCTTTATGCTGACGACGTCCAAATTTACACCCAGTCGTCTCTTAACGACTTATCATTTGCCATCAATACCACCAATGTGGATCTTCAATCTATTCTTGACTGGAGTCGGTCTTTTGGTGTAAGGGTTCCCCATCAAAAACACAGTGCGTCATTATTAGTAGTCCTTGGTACGTATCTCGTGTTGACCTTAACTCCTTACCACCTGCGATTTTCGATGGCGTTCGTATTCCATATCTAGACACAGTCAAGAGTTAAGTGAGGGATAATTTTCGATCGGTGTCTTACATGGAAGCCGCATGTTGCTGAGGTTAGAAGGAAGGTGTTTGGTGCACATTTTTCACTATTGCCTATCAAAACTAAAATTATGCTGGCTCAGAGCATCCTACATCCGATACTGGACTATGCGGATGTATGTTGTCCGGATTTGACAGTCACCCTACTTAATAAATTGGAACGGCTCCAAAATATGTGTGTAAGATGTATCTGCGGACTTCGTAAATTTGATCATGTTTCCCAGTTTCGCGCAGAACTTAAATGGCTGCCCATCCACCGGCGTAGAGACCTTCACACACTTTCCCTTCTTTACTCTACTTTATTCTATCCCTGTACGTCTCTTTACCTCAAAGAACGTTTTACTTTTCATTATTCTACGCGCTGCCGTCCTCTTCGATCTTCTGATACACTTATACTAAACATCTCATGCCTCCGATTTTTACTCCAACTCGTTTACTGTATTGCTATCAGGCTATGGAATTCTCTCCCTGAATCAATTCGACGATCCCCTTCTCTTGATTCCTTCAAACGACGTGTTAAGGAATATTTCCTTAACTACTAATTCTAGTTTTCGCTCCATTCCCTTAATTTTATTTCCTTTGTAAATTTATTTATTCTTATTACTATTTATTATTTATTTTATTGTCCTTCAAAAGTATATAAGTAACCTTACTGTTATATACCAATATTCATGTATACGTTCTAATATTGTAATTATTATTATTATTTATGTATTTATTTTATTGATGAGTAGTGTATTTATTTAAAATGCTTTCATTACAAGACATTCTTTGGTTGCACCCCCTTTCCAACTCTAAAATTTCTATCCTAAGGTTGCCTGGAAGAACTTGCTACTTAACAACAAGGCCGCCTGTTGTACATTGGATTACTCTGTGATACTTGCATTACTGTTCTATGTTGTCATTGTAATTTTAATGTGCAATAAAGAATATTTCATTCATTCATCAACGATAACATCATGAACCCTCTTGGGCACAACAAAACAGAAGGGAAGAGAGTAAATGAACTGTTTTCGAATGTACCTTTTTGTTATAAGGTTCCGTTCAGGAATTCAATGATATCGTAATAACATTTATTTATTAGTAAGTCTTTTAGTTTTAAAAAAAATATTCAGTTCAATGCATCAGGCAGTTTGTTATAATTTTTTATGGACATAACGTGTGGGCTAGAGGAATGTAGCCTAACCATCAACATTGTGAAATATTTATTAAATTTATGAAGGACCGTAATTTATGATATTAAAAATAATCCAATTGTACGTTTAACTTTAAGTACAACATTGTATTCTATTAAACCTTTTCGTACTTAATTGACAATTTTTCATGACAATCGAAGTAAATTTTTCACCTCGTGACTAGAGATGGGAAAAGCTGCTTATTTTTTTAAACGTTAAAACGTACTTTTTTTAAATAGCATGCTTTTTTAAACGCTTTAACGTTTAGAAACGTTTTTCTAAACAAGCGCACAGTCATTTAGGTTAAAAAAAGCTTGCAACGTTGTGTTGATAGCGAAAAGCAAGAGTAGACCACTAAAGGTTTTAAGATAAGTAAGTAAATTTGTAAAACTCGAGTTTCATTTTCATTTATAAAATTATTGTTCACATTGACGAATTAACTTATGTAGGAAACATAGATGGCGGAACTTGAAACATAAGCACGTTGTAAAAAATCAAAAGTTGAGTATTGAGCTAACTAACGCTTACACTAAAATTGGAAAGCGTGCTCATGTATTTGCTTTAAAAAGCAAACTTTTTAAAGATCTTGTTTAAATTCCCACCTCTACTCAAGACTACAAGCCAATATAAACTCTCGGAGTAATAGACACCCTCGCTAAATCTTGTTTGTCTAGCCACCTCGGGTGTAAATTGGCTCGTTTAAATGCCTCGATAAAAAATATACCATTAAATAAATGTGATCTTACAAAGGACACGAGCCCAATCATGACGGATCCAGCTCTGAGGAAACAACAGAAACAACAGCTGATCACAGTTGGCAATTTGTCCATGAACTTCATTTTGAATTTTGTTAGTTAGTCTTCACTAAACATTTTCTCCATCACTGTTTCATTATTTTAATCATTAAATAAACTTTTAAAAAGCATTGAATCCCAACGATACTTCACTCTGTTTTTCAATTTGATGCATTGCGTAACGTCAATATTTTGATGACGGAAAGGCAAGCAGAAGACAGTACTGCCAAAAACTTATTTATTTTTCTACTTTACAGCTTCTAAAGAGTTTATTTTTGGATTGTGTGTGTCACACGCTTCATGACAGGTGAGACTCTGCAATGAAATGATTTGTTTGATATGCAATGAGGATATTTAATGTAATCTTTTACATTTACTTAATTTTGTGACCTAAAAACAAATGGCTTCAATGGTTGAAGCCACGCGTCACAGCCGGTGTTCCTCGCTGCGCCCCCTCGCATATAGAAAAACAATGTTCCTGTGGTGTCACCGTTAATTACTGTAGAGGCTCTTCTCTCTCCGCCACCAAATGGCGTAGAAAACATAAATAGACTTGAGATAACAAAGTGTAAATCTCCAAATAAATAAAATGAATATAGAAATAAAAGCACACATTCATAGCCCCTCACTTAGAAAACCCTGTACACATAGACAACCACAAATTACACCGTTATTAAAAATTACATTCTATTTAAAGAATTGAACCTGGGACCTCTGCGTGGCAGACCAAGGTGGTAACCTTTCGGCCACGAAGGTAATTCATTCACATTGCTAACAAAAAATAATCAAGTTATGATAGAATAAAATAGAATACGTTTATTTGCCAGAATACAGTAATGATAAAGGTGTTAAATAAAATTAGGTACATTGTATTCAACCTGCAAGCAGATGTACAAATATTACTTTCATGTTTGGTTTCTACTGTTAATTGCACAAATTAATATAGAGGAGAGCGGGGCTGAACGTTCCGATTTTAAAATAAGTTGAAGTTTCATACTGAAAATGAAGGATTTGATATTCTACATGTAGCAATATTGAACAAATGTTTGTCGCTTTTTGTTATAATATAGTCACTTTTACTAATATCTCAATAGTCTTTTTTATAGAGGCAAATTTATGACAAATTTCGGAGCGGAACATTCGGCCCCGCTTTGGGGCGCGTTGTTCGCCTTTGAGGCAAATTGTTCCGCCTAGATCATGACAGTATAACAAAGATTTTCTTAAATAAAACCACCCTTTTTATAATTTACATTATGCACAAGTAACTTAAAAAAACCAACTACATTCTTATTTATCAGTAATATTATTCATCGCTCATTTCGTCATCTGAATCACAGTTAAGACACACATTAGTAACTCTATCATCTTGTTTAAATATTTGACACGAGCCCATTTGTAGTCTCGCACCCTTAAAACAAAAAAAAATGGTCATAAAAATTTTTAAGTATGATTGGAGGTCAATTGGGGAAGTTGTTCCTAGGAACAACCAGCCCCTCGAGTGAGGAACTTATAGCCCCAAATTACGTTTTTATACGAAGACTGACATACCGGCAAAGTAATAGAATCAATCAAAAAATACTCAAACAATAAGATTCCTTACTAATGACACTACAGTTAAGAAAAGTTACGTATGAACCGGCCCATAATAAACAAAGACAGACCAAAAAATTTAAACAAGAAAAAATTTACTTAAGTGATATTTTGACAGCTCCACGCATATAGTCACACGTCGTCGCCGGCGTAACTGAAATAGCTGCCGAGAAGACGCATCACCTGACGCTTTAACGACGCGCTACACATGTATTGCTACATATTTTCCTTGCAAAGTTATTGCTGTGAGAACAACTTACCCCGGGAACTACCAGCCCCGGTCTCCCCTAAATTTTTATTTGGAAATTTTAACTATTCTTTATTACTATAGAAACAATGTGTCAAAAGCCATTTTGTCAATTGTAATTTAAAAGTATGTCCTTGCAACAATTTAATTTCATTTGGCAGATTGTTGTAAATAATTATACTCATGTTGAAGCAGTTTTTCTTATAAATTACTTTATGGGAACGAGGTTGGTACAGAAGATTCATAGTTTTTGCTCTGGTCTGCCTTTGATTAATTTCACCACGTGTTTTGAAATATTAAGGATAAGTTTTGACAAATACACATATATCCCTAATATACATGCATCGCAAAGGCAGTATGTTTAATTTTTTGAACAGCGGTTTACAGCGATCGAACGACGCACCGCAGATCGCCCGAACACACTTCTTCTGAACCTTAAACGCACTTTCTACGACTACTGAATTGCCCCACAGTATAACACTGTAGCTAAGCACAGACGAAATGTAGCCGTGATACGCCGTCAATGCCGCTTCTCGAGAGACAGTTTGCCTTAATCTTCGTAGAGAATCTATTTAGCTTCATACAAATCTGCTCGATATGTTCTTTCCAGCTTAGGTGGGTGTCAATTGTTAATCCAAGAAAATTAAATGTGTAACTTCGTCTACGGTGGCAGCATTGTATTGAATTGGAATTAATATAGAATTTTAATTGTACGATCGAAATGTCATAATTTTAGTTTTACTTATATTAATATTTAAGTCATTAAAGTTCATCCAATTTATTACAACTGTCAATGATTTGTATATGTCGGTATTAAATGTCGCTTTATCTTCACATTTTATCATAATTGTTGTATCGTCAGCAAATTGTATACATTTATGGTTAGTTACATGTGGGAGGTCATTAATGTACAAGATGAACAGTAACGGACTTAGCACGCTGCCTTGGGGAATTCCAGCATTAGTTGTTTTAATATTTGATCTAAACGTTTGTTTTTCAAATATATTGTTCTATTTGTTTCTAATATTCCATTTATATCTGTATATTGAGTTCTATTTTTTAAGTAGCTCTCTAACCATTCAAGGGCTCTCCCCCTGATACCATACATTTCGAGTTTGCGTAGGAGTTTAGAATGATTGACGAAATCGAAGGCTCTACTCATATCAAGAAAGATTGACATTACTGGGGTCGATCATTACGTTAATAGATAGAACTAAGTGGTTTAAAATATTATCAACAGGTTATTGCGAAAAAGGTTCGTAATTCGTCCATATTTTCACGTTGATGTTAATAAGTCTAAAGAAGAATAGCGACATCCCGTGTATTTTGTGATCCAGTGTTTTTGACAACGTACATTATACCCATCAATACTTGTGATTCATTATAAAAGTATTAAAAAAGCTAATTTACAGCATGTAGAAGCTGGGGGTTATAAACTTGATATAGGTTATGTTTATAACATTGTCCAGTATTTCGCTCCGGATGTTTATTTGTAGTAGCAGAAAACAACAAGTTTTCAGTTTGTTCATAAATACAGGCTGTAAATTTGAAAGTGAGACATACTTATAGAGTGCGTTATATTCCTGATTCTGAACCCAAAGAAAAAATGAACTTATGTTTTACAAAAAAAAAATATTTTTTATTTTTTTATCGACTACTGCTTGTGAACAACATTAGTCGTCGAAATCCATGCACATCCCTATTGATGTTCCCACGCAGCGCGAGTCTACTAGCGCGAGCGCGGCCTCTTTGATCGCGCGGCACATCAAGGAGCAGAGCCCGCCCATCAAACAGTGCACGCGCGGCCGCCCTCGCGAAGACACGTAAAGTACTTTCGCTCGCCCGATCACAGCGCCGCTCTCGCCCGCAAAATGGATACATATTCAAATGTCGAATTGACTGAGGTTCTCGCCACTTCAATGTCTCGCACATGACAGTGTGGAACCTTCTAAAACGCGAGCAAATGCGCCCATTTCATTTCAGAAGGGTCCAAGATATCACGGCCAATGACAATGCTCCGCGAGTTGCACTTTGTGAATGGCTACTGGCCAATCATCACGTAAACATTTTATGGACAGATGAGAGTATGTTTACGCGTGTAGGCGTGTTTAACGTTCATAACGAACATTGGTGGAGCCATCGGGACCACAACCCGAAAAAAACTAAACGGGATTCTTTCCAACACCGGTTCAGTTTGAACGTGTGTTGATAGTTGGAAATCACTTGTTGGGGCCTTACTTTCTCGAGAGTCGTCTCACCAGTGCAACTTATTTGCAGTTGTTACGCTGCGTTGTGGACGAGATGTTGGACGACGTGCCCCTTGCTCTCCACCAAAGCTTTTATTACCAGCAGGATGGAGCCCCCCCACACTATGGACGTGAAGTGCGCCAGTATCTGAATGACACCTTTGGTGATCATTGGATTGGACGTGGAGGCCCAGTCGCCTGGCCACCTCGGTCACCTGATCTCACGCCCATGGATTTTTATTTGTGGGGTGATATTAAACGTTTAGTGTACACGGAAGAGGTGAATAGTGCCGAAGTGTTGCGTCAAAAAATAATTACAGCATTTCGTACTGTGCGACAAAATGTGTTTGTGCTAAACAACTTAAAACGAAATTTACGACGCCGTGCTAGACTATGCATTGTGCAAAACGGTGGACATTTCGAACAATTGCTCCATACCACGTAAGTGTAAATAAACTGTAAATAACTAAAAAATCATTGTAAATAATTTGATTTCACATTTTTAACTACGCCAAAAACCTCAATTCTTATTAAATAATAACTATTACTGAATCATAAACTTATTAGTACGTAAAACATTTCGATAATAGTTCCTAAGTAAAAAAATAATTAACCTAAGCTAAAACATAATCATTTCGATAACAGCTCTTTTCATTATAACATAATGAGTAAGTGAGTAACTAGTTTTTATTTTCTTGAGAAATGAGGTGCTTTGTCGGTCCTAAGCCCGAAAAAGTAGGAAGGGAGATGTGAAACCATTGTTATTGTGTGTAGGAGTGTGCGACTCGCGCCGCCGCCGGCGCCGGCGTCGCTTGATATGTTCCACTTTGGACTCGAAATCAAGCGTAAAGGGGATCGTTTTATTCCTATGTGCACTCCAAAACAAATATGTTGATTTATTTTTTGATTTATCCCATATCCTAATTTTATTTTAGTCTATGTTAAGTAGTAACATGATTTTCTATGACGTGTATGAATATGTCCCACTTTCAAATTTACAGCCTGTATAAAGAACTTGCTGAATATTCTTAAATCTGTCAAACTCTGCCACATTTAACAAT